TTTACATTAGTTATCTTAACACCAAATGTAAAATTCCCTTTCTCATTTTCAAAGGTATTTAATATATTTCACTGATACACGCAGCAGCATCTTTATTTTCTCTACTTTATTCTCCCTTCTGTCGCTCCCAGAGGCGGCCCTAAGTAATTTTCAATGGTAAGCAAACAGTTTTTTGCCCCCCACCCCCACCCCAACCAATCACTGATATATATTTTCTGTTCGTCGTGGGAGTTCTGTGTGCCATATTTGGTTCAATTCCATCATTGGTGGAGTTCAGAATGCCCTTTGATTGTAGGTGAACTATACATCCCAGTAACTACAACTCGCATATGTCAAGGTCTATTTCCCCCACGAGTGCCTCAAGAGCGCCCCTGGGCAAAATCAACTATACCGCGAATGCTTAATTTGCGTAATGGGTTGAGCCGCCCCTGGTCACTCCCTATCTGAAGATTTTCATTGCAGGGATGGGATTCAGCCCACCTTCTCAATCAATCAATCAATCAATCAAGTTTTCAAGAATCCATGCAGCTCTGTTGCTCTCTTCTATGCTTTCAACAGGGCCCCAGGAATGAGAAGTGGAAATATGGAAGGGATTTTTCACCATCTTCCCAGTAAAGCTAGTACATAACATAAATTTGGATATACAGGTAGAATTAACTTAAGAAAAATAAATGTCTCCTTTTCAAATTAAATAAAAGTGTGTGTGGTGGACTGCGTTTTAATTCAAAGTGAAGACAGTGATGCTTTTTCGCCGTGTTTCTTCTCTCTGGTTGCATTTCATGCTAAGCTATGAGAGGATGGGAGAGCATGTCTTCAGCAAAGCCCTCTTATTAAAATGATTTGGGTGATTCAGGGGATAGAAAGAATCAAGTTGGATATAATTGAACTGGCATGAAATAATAAATATGCACATTTTATTTAAACACAGCTTGCCACATCCTGAAAATCTGGAACCAATTCCTTCTCTTTCAAGATGTTTAAAAGTTGTGGAATTTAGATATGGCAGAAGTGTGTTTGCTTCTGGGCTTACAGCCCTAGCGAGCCCGCTCCAAACCTTTCAACTTCCACATTTCAAGGCGGCCAGACTAGTCAAACCAATGGGAGAAAGAGACTGAAAATATAAACATATTTATATTGCCATAAAATATGTCTTGTGGATTTTATATGTTTCAAGATTTCAAGTGGGCAAAAGATATTTTGCCACTGGTCATTATCCCATCAGGCTGTTGCCTGTAGAGAGCAGAGAAGAACAGAGAGAGAGGATGTGCAGACAGGGCTCGCTGTGAAATGCCTTGCCTCTATGGGGACTCACACACACACACACAAACACACACCTCTGGAAAATAATTTTTCTGGTTTTCTTTGAAGCAGGAGCAAGAAAGCCACCCAGGGCTGTTTTGCACCAAGGAGGGTTGGTTTTTGGGGGGGTTTGGGGGGGGGGTGTAATTTGGAAAAAGTAGTTCCAACATGTCCTCTAGAGACGGAGTTATTAACCTTTTTTGTTAAACAGACCTCTTTGCTACTCAAGTTGCTGAATGATTTCAGCTGCCACAGAACCATTGGTTCAGAAGCCCAACATGCCTGGCTAATTCAAAAGGCCAAATCAGACATGGATGGGTTCGAAGGCACAAATAGCTGGTAAACTGGTTGGGATTTCTGGGAGTTGTAGGTCAAAATACCTGGGGGGACACAAGTTGAGAAACATTTTTGTTGCTCATTCGTTCAGTTGTCTCCGACTCTTCGTGACCTCATGGACCAACCCACGCCAGAGCTCCCTGTCGGCCATCACCACCCCCAGCTCCTTCAAGGTCAGTCCAGTCACTTCAAGGATGCCATCCATCCATCTTGCCCTTGGTCGGCCCCTCTTCCTTTTGCCTTCCACTTTCCCCAGCATAATTGACTTCTCTAGGCTTTGCTGTCTCCTCATGATGTGGCCAAAGGACTTCAACTTTGTCTCTAGTATCCTTCCCTCCAATGAGCAGTCGGGCTTTATTTCCTGGAGGATGGACTGGTTGGATCTTCTCGCACTCCAAGGCAACATTGGTTTAAAGAATTATAGAATAATAGAGTTGAAAGAGACCACATGGGCCATCCAGTGCAACCCCCTGTCATAAAAGAAAGCACAATTAAAGTATCCCTGACAGATGGGTATCCAGCCTCTGTTTAAAAGTTTCCAAGGAAGGAGCTTCCAGTAGACTCCGAGGCAAAGAGTTCCACTGTTGAACAGCTTGTATGGTCAGGAAGTTCTTCCTAATGTTCAGGTTTTTTGTTGGTTTTTTTGTCGTGTCAGGAGCGACTTGAGAAACTGCAAGTTTCTGGTGTGAGAGAATTGGCCGTCTGCAAGGATGTTGCCCAGGGGATGTCCGGATGATTTGATGTTTTTATCATCCTTGTGGGAGGCTTCTCTCATATCCCCGTATGCAGAGGTGGCCCTAGGTAATTTTCAATGGTAAGCAAATAGTATTTTGGCGCTCCCCCAACCAATCACTGATATATATTTTCTGTTCGTCACGGGAGTTCTGTGTGCCATATTTGGTTCAATTCCATCATTGGTGGAGTTCAGAATGCTCTTTGATTGTAGGTGAACTATACATCTCAGTAACTACAACTTGCATATGTCAAGGTCTATTTTCCCCCATCAGTGCCCCAAGAGCGCCCCTGGGCAAAATCAACTATACTGCAATTGCTTATTTTGCGTAATGGGTTGAGCCGCCCCTGCCCATATGAGTAGCTGGAGCTGATAGAGGGAGCTCATCTGCCTCTCCCCGGATTCAAACCTGCGACCTGTCGGTCTTCAGTCCTGCCGGCACAGGGGTTTAACCCACTGCGCCACCGGGGGCTCAATGTTCAGGTGGAATCTCCTTTCCTGTAATTTGAACCCATTGCCCCAAGCCCTAATTTCCATGGCAGCAGAAAACAAGCCTATTTCCTCTTCCTTATGACATCCTTTCACATATTTATATTGGTTATCATGTCTCCTCTCAATCTTCTCTTCTGCGGGCTAAGCATACCCAGCTCTTTAAGACGGTCCTCATAGGGATTCATGGTCTCCAGACCTTTGATCCTTTTAGTTGTCCTCCTCTGGATATTTTCCAGTTTGTGAATATATCTTTTAAACTCAGGATAGGACACAGTATTCCAGGTGAGATGTAAACCAAAGTAGAATAGAGAGGCACCATGACGTCCCTCGATCTAGACACTAGACTCCTTTTGATGTAGCCCAAATTCCCATTGGCTTTTTTAGCTGCTGCATCACACTGTTGGCTCATGTTCAACTTTTTCACATGGACTGTTGTCGAGCCAGATATCGCCCATCCTGTATCTTTGCATTTCATTTTTTCTGCCTAAGTGTAAACATCGCTTTGGACTTCCCAGTTATTGCTGATACATTTTTTAAAAATCTGCCAAGAAATACTAGAAAACTGTCAAGGAAGGCCCTTTTAACTTTCATCTAATAATAATCTGAATAAGATTTGCCCTAAATATTAAGGATATTACTGCATAATGGCCTAAAAGTTTGCTTAGGCATCACAAACTCATCCTCCTAGAAAACTAGAACAAACTGACATATCTCTTCTATGTATTGCATAATTCCCCAAATGGCACTGTCAAACTACAGAGTGCACTTTCCTCTTAGCACACCATCTTGTACACCACTTCTCCTAATTGGAAGAGAAGGTCCAGCACCTCAAGGTCCAGGTATCCACACTACAACATATTATGGAGGAAAAGGTTGCCTTGGACCCAGCAGAGCAGACTGTCCTGCAGGAGAATCACATGGAATCTCTTTGAGGAAGAGGAAGTTGGAGGAATGTTACACACAGATCACTAAAGAGAGACTAAAACAAATAGCCAGCATATGAAGGGATAAAGTTAGAAAAGGAAAGCGCAGGATGAGCTAAAGCTTGCTAAAGAGGTTTAAAACAGTTTTAAAAGGACCTTTTTTGTTAAGTAATTGGAAAAAGGAAGGACAAGGAAATAGTAGGGCCACTCTGCATAGAGGCGATGGCGAAATGAGACACCAGACAGAGAAAATCCAAAACTATTCAACATCTTTGCCTTAGTCTTCTCCCAAAGTGTTAACAGCGCTTAACTTGGGGATAATGGAGCAGATGATGCAGTAGGGGAAATGCAGCATAGAATAGGTAAAGAGGCAGTACAGGAATATCTGGCTAATTTAATGTCTCCAGGACCAGATGAACTACATCCAAGTGTATTAAAAGAACTGGCAGAAGTAATTTTAGAACCACTGACAGTCATTTTTGAGAATTCCTGGAGAACCGGAGAAGTTCTCAAGTCCTTTCTGGGAGATGGGGCAGGATATAAATAAAGATTATTATTATTATTCCAGCAGACTGGAAGAAGGCAAAGGCTGTCTCTATCTTCAAAACTTGGGGGGACCCAAACAATTATGATCCGGTCAGCCTGACATTAATACCAGGAAAGATTCTGGAGCAGATCATTGAACAGACAATCTGTAGGCAGTTGAAAAGTTAGACCATGCTCACAAAAAGTCAACATGAGGTTCTGCAAAATAAGACATGCCAGATGAACCTTATCGCTTTCATTGATTCAGTTACAAGTTTGTTAGATGAAGGGAATGCTGTGGATGTAGTATATCTAAAATTCAATAAAGCCTTTGATCAGGTTCTCACAAAGAAGGTAACAGATAATGCTACTGTTAGGTGGATTTGGAATTGTTGACTGTAAAACAGAAAGTGGGTGGCCATCTGTTGTGTGTTTCTCATGACAACGAGTTGGGGTCTCTTCCAACTCTATGAGTCTATGGTTCCTTCTTACCAATGAAAATGAATGTTCTTTAGTCGCAGAATTTTGAAACATGAAGCTGTACATTTCTTGCTTGTGTACAAGTGATATGTAAGAAATTGACAACTGGCACATTTCTATGGTCAAAGCAGGGGTGTGCCAATTGTTTACTTCCCACAAATCAGAGAAAGTTGGAAAGCATCATTCTGTAACATATACATGAACAAACTTACTTGTGTTGTCTTGCTGTTTTGTGTTTTTGATAAATGCAGAGAATTTAGAGAAGATATCTATGCCAGCAGTATTGGATTCACGGTGCTTGGCAGCAAGCTTAGGATACCTGGGAAAAAAGGTAAATGTGGGTTTTTTTAAAAAAAAAATGCCTCCATGGAATATTATAAAGACAAGCACATATGGAACTGAGCATACCTTCCTAAGTGGATTTACATGCGTAAGACACAGAACTGTGTAGTTTTGCAAAATCCATATTCTCTGTTGTGACATGTTACAACATTTGAGCATCCATTGTGAAATAGTACCAGTGGACTGATTGTTATGCCATGGCCAGGCATGTAGCCAGGGAGGGGGGGGGGCTTCAGGGGCTTCAGCCCCACCCCCAAAATTCTCAGGGTGGTCCACGAGAAGTCCTTACTGGTACATTATTTAAACTGTTATGTTTATTCATATCATGATCTGATCACCATGCTCAATATATCTCATATGCATGGGGGTATTGGGATAACGATACAAAAGGTTTGCTAGGGTAGATCCTCAGCCCCCCCACCCCCAAATCAGACTCAACCCACCCACCCCCCGAATCAAAATCCTGGCTACGGGCCTGGCCATGGCCCCTATGTATAATGGGCACACATACACATGGGGCACTCCAGATGTGCATTTGGGCACTAGACATGTATCTGGATGGATATGAAGTGCCCAGTACTCATCAGAAGTGCTTGGTGAGTCTGTAAAGTGTGGGGTGTGTATCAGATATGTCCGATAAGCATCAGAAATGCCCAGTGCACATCAGAAGTGCCTAAGATGCATTACAAGTGCTCATTGAGCCATGAAACTTCCCGATGTGCATTGAAAAAGCCCAATGTGTGTCAGAACGACCTAACAACATCAAAAACCTCTGTCCACAATTGACTGCTAGGGCTTCATTGTTTTTCTGCATTATATCTATAAATCCAAAAAAATGAATGGCAGACAATGATGTAGATTGCTAGCCATGTGCATTTTATTCACTAAAAGTTCTGTTTGTAAAGTTCAGTCACTTTCTTATAGATGGACCATTGATGTTAATACTTTGACTTAGCTTGGCCTGCAAATCAGGGCTGCACTGAAGAGCCAAGAATGTTTTAAAATGACAGTTATTGTTTTTGAAAGGTTAATTGCCTCAGTGGTTAATGTAACAAGGAATCACAGAATAGCAGGTTTAACTAAAAAATGCTATACATTTGCAAAATATGTGAACATGTTTGGCAGTATCCCACTTCTTTCTATTATAGATGGTGGCACAGTAAGGCCTTTTCGCGAACCACCAGGGGGGGGGGGGGGGGCTTGAGGGGCTTCATCCCCCCCCCCCCGAAATTCTCATGGTGGTTCGCGAAAAGGCCTTACTGGTGCATTATTTAAACTGTTATGTTTATTCATATCATGATCTGATCACCATACTCAATATATCCCATATACATGGGGGTATTGGGGTAATGATACAAAAGGTTTGCTAAAAAAATTTTTACCCCCCCCCCCCCCCCGAAACGAAATCCTGGCTACGGGCCTGGATGGTGGCCAAGGGATAATTCCCTGTAAAATCAAGCAGCATTGGAATCGTACTTTCTAGTCTAAAAAGGTAAGAGCAGGGAAATGTTCCATGGACACATACAGGCAATATCCGAGTTACAAACATCTGACTTACAAATGACTTATCGTTAAGAACAGGGAAAGTGAAAGAAATCTGCCCCTTGGAAGGGAAATTCACTCCAGGAAGACTTAGCATGGGGAAAAGGTTCTCCAATGAAGCTTTATCACCAATCCTTGTTTCCACAACAAACCACATTTTCCCCATTTTACTCTATTATTGTTATTATTATTATTATTATTATTATTATTATTATTATTACTATTATTATTATTATTATTCTGACACAAAACCACAGTATGTCACAGCAAATGAGAGATATATGCTGGATTTCATATCACAAAATCACAAGTCAAACACTTCCCAAGCGTCTAGGACTGTGTGATATATTTTCGAATGATGCGTACAGATCCAAGTAAGGTGGCCTTTTGCAGTTGACAGATCGTGATTTTGTCAATATTTATTGTTTCCAAATGCCAGCAGAGATCTTTTGGCACGGCACCCAGTGTGCCAATGACCATTAGGACCACCTGTACTGGTTTATGCCAGAGCCTTTGCAGGTCGATTTTGAGATCCTGATAATGGCTGAGTTTTTCCTGTTGTTTTTCCTTAATGCGACTGTCACTTGGTATAGCGACATCAATAATCCAAACTTTTTCTTTTCCACAATCATGATGCCTGGGGTATTGTGTTTTAAAACTTTGTCAATCAGTTGTTGTTGTTGTTGTTATTATTATTATTATTATTACATTTATTTATTTATTTACTTTATTTATATACTGCTTTTCTCAGCCCTCAGGTGACTCAAAGCGGTGAACAACATCGATACAAAACATCACGAGACAAATATATATTTGGGTCGGCTTATATTCGAGTATATACGGTATCTTGTTCATAACTTGGGGACTGCCTGTACTCTAAAAGAAGCACGAGATGGAAAGCTGCATGAAAAGTTAGAATGCATCAGAACAGTATTTGCCTCTGAGAAATACTCTCTCATTCTTTGTTGTTCTGTTTCTTATGGACTTAAGTGTTAGATCAGTGGTTCTCAACCTGTGGGTCCCCAGGTGTTTTGGCCTACAACTCCCAGAATTCCCAGCCAGTCTACCAGCTGTTAGGATTTCTGGGAGTTGAAGGCCAAAACATCTGGGGACCCACAGGTTGAGAACCATTGTGTTAGATACTTTAGTTAAGGTCTATTTTGGGGTGAGGAATTCCTCCAAAAGAATTTGAATTACGTGACTAGGTGACACTTTGACAGCATGTGTGACAGCATGTTTGGAAAACCTGAGTGGGGTGGCACTTACGAAAAGCCCAGGTACAAATTAGGACTAGACCAGGTTCCAATGTGGCTAATTTTGGGGAGAAGAAAAATTGAAGCACAGGCTCCGGAAATCATTGTTCATGCTTTTATCCTAGTCATTAGCAACAAGGCAGCAGTCTAAATCATATTACAGAGCAGGTAGCAAACTAGCACTTCCCCCCTTGACTTGGATACATTTAGCATAACCTTAAGAAAATGTTCTAAAAATTATTACTTTGGAGGAGAAAGGGTTTCTTCCAAAAATTCTTCAATTTTGTTAACATCTGTCTTGACATCTCCATCAAAAGTGAGGAATGGCGGATGGGTACCAGGAGCTAAATTATGTAAATCAGCAGGCTTTCTGTGAAAATAATAAGAACATCACTATTCGTATACATGATAATTGTATATACACCATCTATATAAATAAAAATGTAATGTTCATTTGTGGGATTAACAGAACTCAAAAACCACTGGACGAATTGCCCCCAAATTTGGACACAAGACACCTACTAACCCAAGGAGTGACCATCACTCAAAAAATTGAGTTTGTCATTTGGGAGTTGTAGTTGCCGGGATTTATAGTTAACCTACAATCAGAGAGCATTCGGACCTCCACCAGTGATGGAATTGAACCAAACATGGCACATAGGACACCCATGACCAACAAAAAGCACCAGAAGGGTTTGGTGGGCACTGACGTTGAGTTTGGGAGTTGTAGTACACCTACATCCAGAGAGATGTGTGGACTCTAACAATGATGGATCTGGACCAAACTTGGCACAAATATTCCATATGCCCAACTAGGAACACAGATGGAAAATAGACCTTGACATTTGGGAGTTGTAGTTACCGGGATTTATAGTTCACCTGCAATCAAAGAGCATTCTGAACCTCACAAATGACAGAATTGAGGCAAACTTCCCACGCAGAACCCCTATGACCAATAAAAAATGCTTAAGGCCATCCAGTCCAACTCCCTTCACCAGGGCAAGAAAACGTGATCAAATACTGTTTACCCAGAAGCATAAAGACATTACATATATTAGAAACCAACACTTTCTCATTCCTTTATTTTCCAGATCACCAGACATGGCCACAGCACCACATGGCAGGGGATGGCTAATTTTCTAATACTTAGAATGTCAATTCTTCATTGGGTTGTTGTAGTTTTTTTTGGGCTATATGGCCATGGTCCAGAGGCATTCTCTCCTGACGTTTCGCCCGCATCTATGGCAAGCATCCTCAGAGGTTGTGAGGTCACTATCTCTGAGGATACTTGCCATACATGCAGGCGAAACGTCAGGAGAGAATGCCTCTAGGCCATGGCCATATAGCCTGAAAAAACCTACAACAACCCAGTGATTCCGGCCATGAAAGCCTTCGACAATACAATTCTTCATTCTTTTTATTGCATTTATATTGTAATGCATATTCTTGTTGAGTCCTGACTAATAATTGGGGGAATACACATAAGAAAAACAGGATTAGACCCCATATAGCTTATCAAATCATTCTAATTAAGAGCATTTACCTTTTCAGATCGACTGTGGTCACATTGAAAACAACCCCTTTGAGCCAAAGGATCATGAAAAGGCGCTGTGAGAAAGGACAGTTCCCAATGCTTTCTCCATCTACACCGGCCTAGAGCAAAGAAGAAAAGGATTAGCATTAGCCGTCTTTGGCTCAAGAAAATGCCGAGGTGCCTTTTGACACTGAATATCAGGTTTCTGATTAATTCTACCAAAAAGTTCTTCCTTCCAACTCCCATCATAACAGAGGAATTCGTACACGGCACTTCCAGAGAGTCAGGCTGCATCTTTCAGCACAACATCTGGCAGGCAGCATATCTGAGGATGAACGGAGATCTGAGATTCTGTCAGATTCTATAAAACTCTGTAAAACATACCTAAGGTGATGAAACTGTAGGTTTCAGATACAAATAGGATGAGCTTTAATTTAAAGCACAGTCTGGATGTAGCTGCAAAGCCCGTTAAATTCCTGCTGGGCTTCTCATCCCATCCTTCTCTCTAATGACCTCATCATAAAGGGCTAAATTCGGCAGCAAACACCAATCTAGCCTTGGTCACCCATGAAGATGGATGGCTTCCATCAAACAACATCATGCCGGCTCTGTGGGTGCGGAGGGGCAGAACCGGAATGTCGCTGCCACCCTGGTAACACAGAAGGCTTCACGTGTCGCCCAATATATGGGGGGAAGCTGCGCACACCATGCACACTCCACACTTCCCCCATATGATCACCCTCTGGGCAAGGTGGGCAATGCAAGGTGTGGAGTATTGGATTCCCTATGCATTGCAGCAAAGTGTCTGGAGAACAAGCCCTATGAGGAGCGGCTTAAGGAGCTGGGCATGTCTAGCCTGAAGAAGAGAAGGCTGGGAGGAGATATGATAGTCTTGTATAAATATGTGAGAGGAAGCCACAGGGAGGAGGGAGCAAGCTTGTTTTCTGCTTCCCTGGAAACTAGGATGCAGAACAATGGCTTCAAACTACAAGAAAGGAGATTTCACCTGAACATGAGGAAGAACTTCCTGACTGTGAGAGCCGTTCAGCAGTGGAACTCTCTGCCTCAGAGTGTGGTGGAGGCTCCTTCTTTGGAAGCTTTTAAACAGAGGCTGGATGGCCATCTGTCAGGGGTGATTTGAATGCAATATTCCTGCTTCTTGGCAGGGGGTTTGACTCGATGGCCCATGAGGTCTCTTCCAACTCTTTGATTCTATGATTCTATGAAGTGGACCAACACCTCCTTCTGCCGCTGACCTTCTAATAAGGTGGTTAGAAGCCACTTGTCATAGGTTTGCTCCGATTTTATCTCCTTGTGTAGTTCAATTTGTAAAGTGTCCACATTTTGTCCCATAGTTTCCGCCTTGTATATAACAACAAGGGCTGGGATTTTTAAATATTTTTTTTCTGGAGACCAGAACAAATAACACAAGCTGTGTTCTCCGTCAGTTCTTGCTTCTGGACAGAGGTAGGGAGCCAGGATCTCATGCAAGGATTGGAGATACAAATGTTGTAATGTATGGAGCTGTAATGCAACCTTGGCCTCTTGACTGGATGACCCTTGCATCCAGTCCAACCCCATTCTGCCATTCTTCCAACTCCAGGATTCTATGATTCCAATGAATGTCCAGCAAAGCCTTCAACAACAGTCCATCTCTTCCAGACAAGTTGGACTACCTGCTCCTTCATTACAGACAGCACAGCCATTCATCACACTGGTTAGAGAAAACCAGGCCAACACATCTGGCAGGCACCAAGCTGGAGAAAGCTGTTTTGGTACTTTAGAGCAGTTTCTCAAACTGTGTTCCTCCAGATTTTTTTGACTTCAACTCCCATAATTCCTAACAGTGACTCTGAAACCCAGTTGCAGTCATTCTGCAATTGACCACATCTCTGTGTACGAGCCCACACAATCTCATCGTTCATCTGGAGAGGCCCTACTTATGATCCCACCTTCATCGCAAGCGCGATTGGTGGGGATGAGGGACAGGGCTTTCTCGGTGTTGGCCCCTTGACTCTGGAACTCGCTCCCCAAGGTCATTAGGCATGCCCCAACTCTGGCAGTCTTTAAGAGGAGCCCAAAAACATGGTTGTTCCAGTGTGCCTTCCCAGAATAAGGAAACCCTAAGTAACATGTCACTAATCGCACTTTACTAATGATCTAGGATTGTCTGCTCACTCCATCTCTCTCCAAATACCTATCCTAGTTATATGTCACCTTGTCATGCCCAGCATTTTTTTTTATAATTATTTTTTATTGAATTTTCACCAATATAAACAAATAACAAAAACAATAAGAAATACATACATTCCCCTTCACCACATCAAATCCCGCCAACCCGCTTGGAGAAAAAGAAGAAAAGAAAAAAAAAAGACAAAAAGCATACACAATTTCCTACCCTACACCCTAGTGTGACTTCCTTTCTTCTTACTTTCCTCTAATGTATTTTCTATCTTTCCCTGCTCTGTTTCTTTTTCGTTCCAACATCACTAATTATTATACTTGTCAGGGGACTATGTACATTACTTCTCACTCTCTTGTATAGCTTTCTTTTATCCAGTCTTTTCTTTCAATATATTCTTCCAAAAGTTTCCAATCTGTTGGTTTCATACCTTGTCCGTTACTTTGTCTTAACCAATATGTTAACTCGTCCATATCTTTAATATCAGTAATTTTTTTTATCCAATCCATTTTTTGAGGGATTTTTTCCTGTTTCCATAATTTAGCTAAAATTATTCTTGCCGCTGTGGCAAAAAAGGTAAACAATTTCTCTTTGTTTTTGTCTCTAAATATGTCCGAATCGAATATACCCAGTAAGTACATCTCAGGCCTAAATGGAAATTCCATTTTTAATATTGTTTTACATTCTGTATGAATCGTTTTCCAATATTTATTAATTTTTTCACATGACCACCAAAGATGGTAGAAACTTCCTTCTTGATTTTTACACTTCCAACACTTATTGTCAACCTGTTTATACATACTATTCAGTTTGTATAAACAGAACACAGAAATGCCCAGCATTTTTAAAATTTTTAATTATTACATTTGGCCCTGCCATAGGTTTTTAATGCGTCGTGGTGTTATTGTTACTGTTTACTGCTTTGTTTATGAGTTTATGTATTGTCTGTATTGCTGTTGTTGCTGTTTTTACTGATGTATTTGGGCTCGGTCTCTTGTAAGCCACACCGAGTCCTTCGGGAGATGGTAGCGGGGTATAAATAAAGGTTTATTATTATTATTATTATTATTATTCTAGCATCTTAATCCCGAAGAGTAATTGATAATAGAACTAGGGGGCAGTAATGGCTGGGGGTTTCCATATTAGTGTGGTGCTAAATCATTTTTGTTTGGATTGTAAAGGAGCTATCTAAGGCCCCTTCTACACTGCCATATAAAATGCAGATTATCTGCTTTGAACCAGATTATATGGCAGTGTAGACATAGATAGTCCAGTTCAAAGCAGATAATGTGGATTGTCTGAATTGATAATCTGGACGTATCTCCCTCTACATTCCGCTTCGTAGTCTAAGATCTGCCGGGGAGCAGGCATGTAGCCGGGGGGGGGGGGGGGGGCTTGAGGGGCTTCAGCCCCCCCCCAAAATTCTCATGGTGGTTCGTGAAAAGGCCTTACTGGTGCATTATTTAAACTGTTATGTTTATTCATATCATGATCTGATCACCATACTCAATATATCCCATATGCATGGGGGTATTGGGCTAATGATACAAAAGGTTTGCTAGGGTAGACCCTCTTTCACTCAGACTCAGCCCCCCCCCCCCGAATCAAACTCAGCCCCCACCCCCCCGAAAAAACTCAGCCCCCCCCCCCTGAATCTGGGCCTGCCGGGGAGACCCTGCTCTCAGTCCCACCAGCTTCACAAATGCGGCTGGTGGGGAAGAGGGACAGGGCCTTCTTGGTGGTGACCCCTCGCCTGTAGAATTCGCTCCCCAGTGAAATTAGATCGGTGTCCTCCCTCCTTTCTTTCAGAAGAAAACTGAAGACATAGTTGTGGAACCAGGCATTTGGGTAATGGATATAACAGCACCTGAACGGTGAATTGGACCAGACGGTTGTTACAATGGAAATGCCTTTATGATTGGATAACTAATGTTGTTTTAATGTATTGTCAAAGGCTTTCATGGCCGGAATCACTGGGTTGTTGTAGGTTTTTCCAGGCTATATGGCCATGTTCTAGGGGCATTTTCTCCTGATGTTTCACCTGCATCTATGGCAAGCATCCTCAGAGGTAGTGAGGTCTGTTGAAAGTAGGAAAATGGGTTTATATATCTGTGGAATGATCAGGGTGGGACAAAGGACTTTTGTCTGCTGGAGATAGGTGTGAATGTTTCAACTGACCACCTTGATTAGCATTTAATGGCTTGGAAGTGCCTGGGGGAATCTTTTGTTGAGAGTGATTTAATGTGCCTGATTGTTTACTCTCTGTTGTTTTGCTGTTGTAATTTTTTTGTTTTTTAATACTGGTAGCCAGATTTTGTTCATTTTCATGGTTTCTTCCTTTCTGTTGAAATGTATTATATTGTATGATTTTATTTTGGGCGCTAGAAACAACATCAGCTGAATGGCACAACCTGGGGTTCACAACCAGACACAGTGAAGACATCTGCCCTTGCGTTATGCTACTCTGCTGCTGAGTACACATGCCCACATCTAACCACACTAAAACAGTAGATGTGGCTCTTTAATGAGACATGCCACATTATCTCAGGGTGTCTGCGCCCCACACCACTGGAGAAATTACACTGCTTAGCCGGTATTGCACCACCTGACATCCGCCGGAAGTAGCAGCCAATAGTGAAAGGACCAAGGCAGAGACATCTCCAGCTCATCCCTTGTTTGGGTATCAGCCAGCACGTCAACAACTTAAATCAAGACATAGTTTTCTTAGATCTACAGAGAAACTCGCTGGAACACCTCAGCAAGCGAGAGTCCAAAAGTGGCAGGCCCAAACCCAGCACCTCAATCCATGGGTGATACCAGATGAGAGACTCCACCCTGGGCACACAGAAGACTGGGCGACTTGGAAGGCACTGAACAGACTGCGCTCTGGCACCACGAGATGCAGAGCCAATCTTAAGAAATGGGGCTACAGGGTGG